TAATCCAAAATTGTTTCGGAACAAAGAATACCCGTAATTATAATCAAGCGTGACACTCATTTAGACGAACGCGTGTAACAACATGTTGCACTTAGACTCTCGTTGGTTATTATACGATATCGATTGTGTATAATTTTCGAGAGTTCGAGATTATATAGGTTAGGTACTCTGGTTTAAATTATTATTTTATTACTATTATTATCATCATCTTCTGTTCTATTTGTTCGATCGATACGAACGTGGTGGCACTACTTGTTCCTATAGCAAACAGAGGAGGACTCGACCGAGCACAAAATGGTACTGTTGTTGTTGCGTCACGCGTGCCAGAGCGAAAAAAATTTGCAAACACTTTGCAAACGTTGTCCAAGTGTATACAGAACAAATATGAAGAGAGGACAGGCCGGATGGAAAGAGCAATTTCCGAACTAGCTGGTATCGCGCTCGTGCCAACGGCAGCAATATGCGAAAAGACATCCCCCGTTGCATGCATTAAAATGCAAATTTCCGTGCACGGTGTCGTTCCTTCTCATCGATCGTAAAAATCAGAAGAAAATACGTGTCTGGATAGTATAGCGAAATAAAAGTACCTGTGCCACGAGAGTGAGAGAGAGAGAGAGAATGGAAAGTCGACACTTTTCTCCCTTTTTTTCTGAAAATCGATAAGAGAGAGAATGGGAAGTCGATACATTTTTCTCTTTTCCCAAAATCGATGTGTGTGAGAGTGAGAGAGAGAAAAGTCGATCCTTTTCTCCCCTTGCTCTGCTTAAAATCGATGTGAGAAACAGAGAATGGAAAATCGACACTTCTCCTTTTCCTCAAAATCGATGTGTGCGAGAGTGTGAGAGAGACAGAGAGAGAGAGAATTCGATTCTTTTCTCAAAATCGATGAGAGGGAGAGAGAATGGAAAGTCGATACATTTCTCTCTTTTCCCAAAATCGATGTGTGTGAGAGTGAGAGAGAGAATTCGATTCTTTTCTCAAAATCGATGAGAGGGAGAGAGAATGGAAAGTCGACACTTTTCTCCCTTTTTTCTGAAAATCGATAAGAGAGAAAGAGAGAGAGAGAATGGAAAGTCGATACATTTCTCTCTTTTCCCAAAATCGATGTGTGTGAGTGAGGGAGAGGGAAAGAAAGAGAGAGAGGTCGACTCTCTTCTCCTCTTTCTTTTCTTAAAATCGATGTGAGAGACAGAGAGAATGGAAAATCGACACTTCTCCTTTTTCTCAAAATCGATGTGTGTGAGAGTGAGAGAGAGAATTCGATTCTTTTCTCAAAATCGATGCGAGAGAGAGAGAGAATGGAAAGTCCATTCTTTTCTCTCTTTTCTTTTTTCAAAAT